GAAATGCGCGTCTCATGCTCACGCAGCGCTTAGGATCAACAGCAAAGCGGTGCCACGCAATCTTGTATCATGTCTCTCTGGATCGTATGTATATAATGGTTAAAAAGCGTGCTATTCACAGATGAACGCCATATGTTACTCCTGACAGTTTAGGTATATACGCGTGCAATCCATTTAGCTATTTAACACGTATTTTCCTTTTCTTTAGGACATACCCGGTGACAAACTGAAGCAGTTGTGCAATGATCAGCTGGATATGATGTCAAAAAAGCGAATTCTGTGTATATTGAAAGGTACGTGGGCACCAGATGAAGAATGTTTCTCTACTCTCTTTCGCCTATTATTGCCGATAATTTCCTGTAAATGCCGTTCAAATGCTCCTCTGCAACACACACGTACACCGCACTCACGCTGCTGCACGTAATTATCGGCAATAATAGGCAAAAGAGAGTAGAGAAACATTAAGACTTTGGTTGTAAATACATTTCGTGTTTATTTAGCATTATTTTTCGTTATTGAGATGCTCCAAGTGCCTGTGGTTCGTCCGGTAACGTCAGAGTGCTAAATGCAATCGTAGCCAACTTGATCAGGATTCTGTGTTTTGTTCATGGAGCTGCAGGGAGCTGCAGATAAAAGGTTCGTAACGCAAAATTCTGTAATTTAAATACGCTCTCCCGTTGACTCGCCATTAAATAATAATTGATACGTTTCTGCGCTACGTTTTTCGGCCAAAAGAATTAAGTGGCTAATCCCCTGATCTCCCCTAATACAAGTACAGTTATGTGTGCAAGTACACGCGTTCATAGAGATATTGATTATTTAATCATATAACACAGTATAGGGAGTTGTTTACAATAAGAGATACTACACTGAGCGAGAAATACGCTGTTGACAGGTCACCGATTCTAGGTAAAAACTCACATTTCATACATATGGAGTGTGTAGGTGTTACCCTAGGTTACCTTACCTGTAGGTTTATGTCTAGTCAGTCTAATCGGTGGTGGCACATTTAAATGCTGGTCCACTTAGCATGTTAGTAGCTGGTTACATATGTATGACATTAATTTTAATAACAGCGATTAAGCATAGAAAGGCTTTATTCTGGGTAGGAAATCTTGGTCATTATTTCGTAAAAGATTATGTAATAGCAAATTTTCGTTTTCTATCGCAAGTTATATTATAGTGTTCATAAATGACAAATATGGTATGGGCGAAACTACATAAGCATAGTTAACGTAACTTGAGGTATTACTGTACACATTAGTTTACGTGATAGAAAACATTTTATGCAACAGCTAGTAAGTATCCATAGCTACGAGCATCATTCAAGCATCATTTCCAGCTACAACACATTAAACAAAAGCACACATTTTATTTCCTGCTGCTGCATCGCATCGCTTTATGCCAGTTGCCACTGCTATTTTACATAATTGACTTAGCAGTAGTAGTAGCAGTAGCAGTAGCAGCAGCAGCAGCAGCAGCAGCAGCAGCAGCAGCAGCAGCATCATCATCATCATCATCAGCAGCAGCAGCAGCAGCAGTAGCAGCAGCATCATCATCAGCAGCAGCAGTAGTATTGTAGTGTGGTATAGAAGGATTCGCAGGTGGGAAACCTGACAGGGGCCGCGACGTGAACGCTCCGTCTGTTGTTTCCCCCCTCCCCCATCAATAGGAGAGAACGCAGACGACATATCGTCATCGGGAACGGACGACGGTGACGACGAGGACGTGAAGGAGCTTGGCCAGGAGCAGGACAGCGTGCAGCCCGCTGACTCCACGTCGTCACTGCTCGACGAACCGCACAGCGCCGAGAAAAAGTACGTGGCGAGCGATTCACGCGAAGCGTGCAGGGTAAAAAACACGGGAGCGATGAGCGATTCGCTCTTCACACCTCCGAAATAGCTCCCGTGAGGCTCAAAATAGCTCCCGTGAAATTTTTGACGAGAGCTATTTTTTCACAAACTTGGCAAAAAGACGCTCCGTAAAAAGAAAGTAATTTTGTTCCCTGAGCGGCGTGTGTGTCGTTGATGTGTGGTGTGTGTGTGGGGTTGAGGTGGGGGGGGTTGAATGCATCGAAAAGTTGAGGAGCTAATGGTAGCAGTGAGGAGCAGTGCAGGAGGAGGTAGCGAGCATTGCAGGAAGTAGCAGGAGAATTGCAGGAAGCTCAGCAGGAGCATTGCAGGGAGTGGCCAAGGAATAGCAGGAGCTTGCCGAGGGCAGGAGAGCCGGAGGCGGAGCATTGCAGGAAGTAGCAGGAGCATTGCCAGCGAGTAGCAGCGGCAGCATTGCCAGGATGCAGGAGAAGCATTGCAGGATAGCAGGAGAAGCATTGCAGGATTGCAGGAGTAGCGAGTAACATTGCAGGAGATTGCAGGAAGAAGCAGGCAACATTTGCAGGAAGTAGCAGCCGAACATTGCCATGAGTAGTAGGAGTATTGGAGAGTATTCCAGGAAGTAGCAGAACATTGCAGGAAGTGAGAGGCAAGTATTGAGGAGCTATTGCAGGAAGTAGCAGGAGTATTGCAGGAAAGTACGTATTGCCTAGAAGTATTGTAGAGTATTGAGAGTATTCGGAGTATGCCAGGAAGTAGCAGGGAACATTGCAGGCAAGCTCAGCAGGAACATTGCAGGAAGTAGCAGGAACATTGCAGGAAGTAGCAGGAACATTGCAGGAAGTAGCAGGAACATTGCAGGAAGTAGCAGGAGCATCTCAGGAAGTAGCCAGGAAACATTGGCAGGAAGTAAGCAGCGAACATTGCCAGCGAAGTAGCGGAGCATATGCCAGGAAGTAGCAGGAACATTGCAGGACAGTAGCAGGCAGCATTCGAAGGAATGTAGCAACAGCAGTGCAGAACATGCAGGAAGTGCAGGAACATTGCCAGGAGTAGCAGGAACATTGCAGGAAGTAGCAGGAACATTGAAGGCCAGAATAGCAGGAAACATTGACAGGCAAGTAGCAGGAACATTGCAGGAAGTAGCCAGCGAACATTGCTAGAAGTCAGGACAGGCAGGAAGCAGGACATTGAAGGAAGTAGCAGGACAGTTGCAGGAAGTCGCAGCGAACATTGCAGCGGCAAGTAGCAGGAACATTGCAGGAGGAGCAGCGAACATTGAAGGAAGTAACAGGAACATTGCAGGAAGTAGCAGGAAACATTGCAGGAGACAAGTTAGCAGGAACATTGCAGGACAGTAGCAGGAACATTGAAGGAAGTAGCAGCGAAGTAGCAGCGAACATTGCCAGGAGTAGCAGCGAACATTGGCAGGAAGTAGCAGGAACATGCCAGGAAGTAGCAGAGACATTTGAAGGAAGCTAGCAGCGCAGCATTGCAGGAAGTAGCAGGAACATTTGCCAGGAGAGTAGCAGCGAAACATTGCCAGACAAGTAGCAGCAACATTGCAACAGGAAGTAGCGGACATTGAAGAAGTAGCAGGAACATTGCCAGAAGTAGCAGGAAACATTGCAGAAGTAGCAGGACAGTAGCAGGAACATCTGCAGGAAACATTGGCCAGGAAGCTGAGTAGCATGGAACATTGAAGTGAAGTTAGCCAGAACATTGCCAGCGAAGCTAGCAGGAACAAGCAGGAAGTAGCAGGAACATTGCCAGGAATTGCAGGCAACATTGAAGGAGAAGTAGCAGGAGCATTGCAGGAAGTAGCAGGACATTGCAGGAAGTTAGCAGGAACATTGCAGGAAGTAGCAGGAACATTGCAGGAAGTAGCAGGAACATTGCAGAAGTAGCAGGAAACATTGAAGTGAAGTAGCAGGAAATTGCAGAAGTAGCCATGGAACATTGCTGGAAGTAGCAGGAAACATTGCAGGAAGTAGCAGGAACGATTGAAGGAAGTAGCAGCAGGCATTGCAGGAAGTAAGCCAGGAACATTGAGGAAGTAGCAGAGCGACATTGCAGGAACTTGCAGGAAGTAGCAGAGAACATTGCAGGAAGTAGCAGGAACATTGAAGGAAGTAGCAAGGAAACATTGCAGAAGTAGCAGGAAACATTGCAGTAAGTAGCAGAAGTAGCAGGAACAGTGCAGCGAACATTGCGGAGTAGAGAACAGCCGATGCAGAGCAGGAACATTGCAGGAAGTAGCAGCATGGAACATTGCAAGGAGACATTTGCAGGAGTAGCAGCGAACATTGCAGGACATTGCAGGAAGTAGCAGGAGCATTGCAGGAGGTAGCAGGAAGTAGTAGGAGCATTGCAGGAGGTAGCATGAGGAGCTAAAGTAGCTGGAGCATTGGTAATGAAGGAGCTAATGGTGTCTGTGCTGGGCATTCGTTTTATGTGCAATGATTAGATAGCGAGCACTATGATAATGACACAACGTCGAGCAGCAGTAGGTGCGCACGTTGATGGAGCAAGAAACGTCTAATACACTTAATAATTAGGAATCAGCGTCATACATATGAACCAACAAAACAAAACAAGCTTCTGTGGGTGTTCATCTCTGTTGTGATAACAAGAATAAGAAAAAAAGGTTCCTGTTATATTCACAATATGGACTCGTTGCGTGTAGTAATCTGAAATGGCATGTTCGGAATGGTCGGAATGCTGCCTCGTGACTGATAGTAGTGTATATGCCTAAGAAGTAAATTAATATTTTCATGTTAATATTGATAAAGTTATTTATATTAATGCCTGACATTTGTTTCTTATGTTGCCTCTCATGTTGATGGTATATGAGTTGCACCTCTGCTGCTTATTTTAACACGTTTAATACCTGGTATTCACGTGATCATTTATGTGATAAATATTCCAAACAACTGCAACTTTCATGCTTGTTGCAGGATGCAGAACAAGCACAAACATCATGCATAACAAGCACATGTAATTTGTTAATAGTGAATTTCTCGTTAATAGTGAGCAGCAAAAATTGGTCTTTCAAAACAGTAATAAAATGCTGTTTTACTAAATGTAATGCTGAAAGCTCAAGTACTGTTATTATCATTTTATTTTTTAATTGCATTGTATTTTATCGACAGGTTAAGTACTACTAATGACAATGATCAGCTAGAACTCAACCCAGACCAGGATGAAGTTGGAAGTCTCTATGATGAAGAGATGGGTATGAATATTGATTTCATGTAATAGACATGACTGTGCCTGTAGATACAATAACATGAAAGTTTCAGCCATTATGCTAGGATGTGACACATGGGAGGCTCACATTATATTTCTGTTGCGAAATTATATGTGCGAATACTAGATTTGTAACCTTGATAGAACGTAATACAATCACCACAGCATTCTAATGCCAGCAGCTGCATAACCTACATCAGTGTAAATGGCAATCAGAAGCTTTGGAATATAACATCATACTAAAGACTTCACTAGTGCTTCTATCATCATTGTGTCGCCCTCTATTAGTAAAATAGGTCATCTCCAACAATCCGTCTATGATATATATATCTATTTATTATGGACTTTTTGTCTCTAAAAAGAAAGTCTATCAAGTAGTATCAAGGGTAGATAATTGTTATAGGAGACTGAGTGATAACAAATAGCATACAGATTCATGCCTTGTATTCATGCCATGTATTGAGTGTGTGGTGTGAATAAAAAAGCTCTTGCAAATTTTTCACTGCAATAAGCACTGGTGTGAGCAATCCAATTTGCATTTGATTGTTTTTCACTTGTTTTCTTTTTGCTAGATATTTAGCAAATCTATCAGCATCATTAACTTGAAATACTAGAAAATTATTAACACTAATTATGTGCTATGAATCTACCTCTTCATGCTATTATATTGGTGTGTTTGTCAATTCTGTTTTGCTAGTTCTTGGAACCACAATGTAATGTTTTAGACCGCAGTGTTGCGGCCAAAGATGTTGAGTTGAATGCGGACACACCTAAAGAAGCTGAAGTCGAGAAACTAGATGTCAAGCCAGAGAAGGAGATCCCTTCACATCACCAGGAGGAGGAGCGCATCCCGCGTCACCTCCCGACGACGGCTCCTCCGACAACCGAGGATGCCTCGCTCGGACATGCAGCCTTGTCTTCCTTCACAAAGGTAAAACCTTGCTCAGTTATCGACGTATTTTGAACAGAACTGCGCAGTCGTTCTGAGGTGTCGTTTCACTGGAGTAGCCCACAGGGCTTTAGTGAAAATTGTTTACGCCATGTGGCAATGAATAATTAGCGATGTTCTACAAGTTTTGAGTTTTGTTTTCTTTAAATATTTACTACTATCTCGAAAGATGTCGCTTTCATGGCCGGTGGTATTTCCTAAGGATCCATTTCAAAACTGTAGATATATTAGTAATTCAGTTATTTCAAATAGTGTTTATGTATGTTTATTTCCGACCAGTTTTCTTTCAGGAAGGAAAATGAATTGTCGTTAATTACAACCATGTTTTCACCTGAAAATTCCAATAAATCAATACAAATATTATTTTCAGCATTTACAATACCACCAGCTGTGCACATGTGCTGAGAAGGCTGAGTGAAATTTTGGCAGTTTAACTATGGATTTTACTGCTGCAAATCTATCACTAATAATGAGATAAGAAGAAAAAAAGAAAAATGTAAAGACAAAAAAAGAAGCCCCTTACATTATTTGTTGTGATGAGATGATACTATAATGATGAAACTGTCTATGCAGAATCAGATGGAGATACTGGAACTTGAAATGCGCGCGCGTGCTATCAAGGCCATGCTGAATGCTCAAGTGAGACAGTCAGGCACTCCACAGTCGCAACCACAGGAGCAGAAGGTCGAAGAAGAGGTGGAGCAGGAGGAGTGGGATGAGGATGAAGAGCAGGAGGATATAGCTTATAGAATCGATGATCAATGCCAGGTGTGTTGGATAGTGTCAGTTGTTGGTGTTCAGGTGACCTAGTGATGCTTTCTACAATCCTGAACAGTGTAATGATGAAAAGATTCGTACATATGTGTGTACTCTCGTGAGTGGCTCGTGTCGTATAGTGTATACCATGTGATGTTGTACCCAGGTTCTAGCTTGGTACGGGCACTTATGTGTACCCTGAGGTAGGCACGAGATCGTAGACAGACACGGAAGTATAACGTACAAACACATGTCTATTTAATTCTTACACAAACTTACAGAGACAAGTTATTAGTTACATATGTAATGCAAGATCTCTAAAAGGAGTTTACACATGCACATACAAGTACCAGTCTTAAAAGAAGTTTTAAGACATACGTTTAAGACGCATACTGTAACACGAATACGGTAAGACCTAAACTACAAACATATACACATACAAGAACGGTCATGCGCTGACCAAGCGCTTGACACTACATACTCACAGATCGACAGGTGGTTCTGTCTCTCTGTTAGAAAAGCTTGCTATTTATGCTACGTTTCGGACACCACATGATCTTACTAGTGCTACGAGTTAAAACCTTTCAGGTTAATGAGTCTACGAAACAAGGCCACGCCTTGGTCTGAAAATGGCTACTGTCGCTCTTTTTAACGAGAGGGGGAGGGAGGGTGTCTTTTGTTCTACCCGGAATCTCGTACTTGGCGGTACCAGTATCGAACTACCTATAACGAGGCGAGTGACCAAAAGTGCCTGAGGCGTGTCCCTGCGACCGCCATGCGTCCACCTTCTAATCACTTAATTATTGCTTCACTACAACAGGATTAGGAATAGCCATGTACGTGTGCCAGTAAAAATAATTTGCATTCATTCAATTAAAGTAGATTTGCTAAAAAAAGGAAGGAAATGCATCCGAGGATTATAGTAAAAGAGCAATATTTCAAATCCTGTATATGTTCAAAAGATACACAACTCGATTAACGAGCACGTAAATGCCAATTAAGTTGGATGCACGAGGTAATACTGTCAACATTCTTGCACGTTGAATGTGACCTGACTACCTTACAAATTGCCTCCTACTGATCCCTTCAGGTGACACTGCTTTTCTTAACCCTCTGGCTGTTACAGGCACGCACGCAGGAAGAAGATGAGGTGATCGCGAAGCCATTGTCGCCTCCAGCTCCCGTCGTTACCCGGTATAAGCGTGGAGTGGACAGTGAACCAGAAGAGGGTGAATTGACGGATCAGAGTGAAGACGATGGCGAGCAGGTGGGTAGCTGTTATGTGTGGCCGTGTGGGTGTTGTGTCAGCGCATGTTATTGTGTTGTGCATTGTTACCTCCGCGCAAACGGAGGTCATGCAATCGCTCGTGTGTGTGTGTGTAGCCACTGCGCGATCGATAGCGCGTCAAGTCAGCGAGTGGCGAGTCAGCAGCAGCCACCAGTGAGCGGCGAGTCAGCAGCAGGCGAGTCAGTCAGCAGCCGCCATCAGCGAGCACATACATGTTACATGCTCGCGGAGGTATGCAATCTCCGTGAGTGCCCTCTGTCTAGTTGTGTATATTTTGGAAGTTCGGTGCTATTTCTCCTGTGAGGTTGCGATGCTAGTTGACAAATAGAACGTGCTACTCGATTGAACGCATTTTTCTTGCTAGTTAATGTATTTAATTTCCGACTCATTCAAGGTGGACGACAATGTCGAGAGCAATAAACCCGAGAGCACAATCCAAGTGTCGTCGCCGACCAAAGTAGAAGAACGGCAAATCAAACGTGAAGGTGACCCCGCAGTGGCACTGTCGGCAGCAGACGCGTCGGACATCGTCACAGCTCCCGCTGACAGCACCCGATCTGGCAGTTTGCCAGCAGTCACCTCGTCGGACGACGGCGAGGAGCGCGCCATCGGCGAAACGCTCTGTGCACTCGTCGACGCCGTCGCGGCGTCCATAGACTGTCACCGCGTCGCCGAGACGAACGCCGACGATGGGGCCGGCGCCTGCAGCACGCACGCAGCTATTGCGCGGGGGTCGTCTATGCGAGCTCCGTGTTCGCATGATTCGTCGCATATGCGTGCCGTGCGTGTGGAGGCGGTAAGCACACGTCAAAATGTCGGGCAGGATGGCAATGATGGCAGGCAGGCTGGCAGTGATGGCAGGCAGGCTGGCAGTGATGGCAGGCAGGCTGGCAGTGACGCTGTACAAGCTGGCAGTGACACTGTGCAAGCTGGCAGTGACGCTGTACAAGCTGGCAGTGACACTGTGCAAGCTGGCAGTGATGCTGTGCAAGCTGGCAGTGACACTGTGCAAGCTGGCAGTGACGCTGTACAAGCTGGCAGTGACGCTGTGCAAGCTGGCAGTGACACTGTGCAAGCTGGCAGTGACGCTGTACAAGCTGGCAGTGACACTGTGCGGGCTGGCAGTGACGCTGTGCAAGCTGGTAATGACACTGTACAAGCTGGCAGTGAGAAAGATGGTGACAGTGGCCACAAGGTCGTGCGTTCTAGCTCGCAACGTGGGCAGGACGACCGCCGATTGCACACGCATTCACACACCGGAAGCAAAGCAATCCCAGTGCGGGCAGTGGAACACGCGGAGGAGTCGGATGCTGACGACCTTGACCCAGGATTCTGGGGTCAAGGTACCATCACCGATGAGCAGGAACTGGATGCCGAAGAAAGTGGAGCGGACAGTTCCTGATGGCAGGAATCCTTCTGGAGTTGGGGAAGTTGTAAGGCCCCTTATAGGATTTCCTGTTACAAATTGGGTCACTGAAAACATTTTTAGTTGTTTTACTAGATAGTAATTCTTGTACAGGTTGTACCTCACTAATTAGGAATGCATGGGACCAGACCAGTTCCAGATGAGTGAATATTCCGAACCGTCGAAACTGAGGTTAAAAAAGGGAAAATAATGAACATACTGTATTATTACTGATACCCAACACAACTTATGTAAATTATATAAACACGTTCACGTTCTCGGTTGAATGGAGGACGTCCTTGATTCGAACTAATCTTCCTTTTTGATGAGAAATTACTTGACGTGATGCGGCCATGATGCCGAGGCCCGCCGAGGATTGACACTTTGTGTCTTCCAATCACAGTCTACGCCGCACCTCTCTATTATAACTTCTAGGTATAATAGCATTAGAGCACCAAATCGTCGATCTCAGGAACTAGGGCATTCTGCTATGTTAGAACGGTTTCCTACGATAGAGTTTGCCACAAATACGAAAATAACACGCTGTTTAGCGCACTGCGCTACGTCTTTCTGTTGCATTTTCGCATCTCCGTAAGCAGAATAAGCCCCGCCTTCTTCGTTGATGGACATGAATGGGGCGTCACCGACGTGACCAGTTCCTACTGTTTTTTCTTTTCGTAAATGATTAAATGCCCGGCCAATGCATTTTGCAATGTTTACATGCCACAGCGTCATCTCTTGGATGTTTTATAAGTAAATATAATAAGTATATAAGTAAATATGGGGATTTTCAATAAAATAATGCATTTTTTAATGTATTTACCGACGATTTACGTATAGAAACTATATGTTATTTTTACTGATTTCTCCGTATCTTTCCTTGGAGTTTTCATCGTCTTTCAATGGCCTTTCGGTAGATTTTTCTGCGTTTTCTGCGTGATTATTATTTTGCGGCAGGCACTCATTTTGGAAATCCTCCAACATTTTTACTTCTTCCTTAAGTCCATGTTTCACTGTTATTTAGGAAGGAAGGTAAAAAGTGTGCATTCGTATAATTTCACTCTAATTGCTTCTATAGTATGATTTCCATAATTTTGGCTCTTCTGCCATTTCCCTCATCATGAACCTACATTTTTCAGTTCAGACTCTTATCATATCGTTATAACCTCCTATATCATTAATTAAATCCCCTAGGTATGAATATTGGTGATTTTTTTATTACTTGGTTGCCTATTAATATCTCCTTCTCTATCCTTTCTTTGTTGGTGAATTTTATAACCATTGTATTTGTTTTGTTCATATTAAATTCTAATGTTTTTTGATTCAGCTAATCTGGAGCATGACTGAGCGATTTTTGTTACTGTTTTCTAATCTCCAATTCCTAGAATATCGTCCATATATAATCATTGTCATCTTCTAAAACTACAGACATCCGCTGACCGCTGTGGAGACGTGCGCCGGGCCTCGAATTTGGCGCACGTCTCCACTGGCGGACAGCGCTTCATACTTGAAACATCCCCGCCGCGGTCGCGTGCACATCTCATCCGCGCGCAGCGTTTAGGATCAACAGCAAAGCTGCACGCAATCTTGTATCATGTCTCTCTGGCTGTTAATTAATACTTAAATGTACTTATTTAAAAGAACCCTTTAACAGTTAATGTGCTTCATACACATGCCACTGCCCATAGTAGCTGTTAAATTATATGATAGTATCGCCTCCGCATATCTCAGTGGAGGTTGCCGGGATTTTACCAGACGCACGGTGGCTCTATTACTGGCTATCTTCTGTAAATGTCTGCCTCGATGAATGGTATTGGATCCTCTGGTAAATCCGTTGGCTCTTTTTGGGCAGCAATGTGTACCGATCGAGGTTGAATGGGTTTTCGCTTTCCATACGAAATCTCTGGATTCACTTTTTGCTCTGTGCTCAGTGTCTGTCTTTGACCTGGTGTCATATGCTAGTGGTCGTAAATCACCTTATGGTTGTCTCTATAGAAGAAGACTGGTTTTCGATAAATACGAAAGTCCAAGCGCGTTTTAAAATATACCGCTCTTTTTGCTGGTGGCGCCACTATCCAATGTCATTAGGACATGCTATGTTGAATTTTGACGCATCCTAGCGCCATCTAGTGGTGAAAACTAATTATAAAATTGCGCACATATGGAATAACTCAGATGGATATATCGGTTTACCCCAATTAACATCAGGTTTCGTCCACGATGTGACGGGCTTCTTTTCGGCGAGATCTATGCGCGTTCAATAGAAACGAGAAGAGAATCTTCTGCCCCAACCACCATCATGTCTAGTTACCTCCGCCAAGGAGGTTATGTTTTCGCGCCCTGTTCGTTTGTTTGTTGGTATGTTGGTTTGTTTGTCTGTCACGAGGATATCTCAAAAGGTTACGGCGTGCGTGCGTGCGTGCGTGCGTGAAGAGAATATTGCAAAGGGAAGAGACTGCGCGCGTGGCGTGCGCTGGCGTGCGTGTGAAGGTGAGAGTCACGGAGAGGGAGAGGGTGAGGCGAGAAAGAAGGCGAAAGAAGTAACTATAATTAGAAGGAATTTGTGCATCCGTGCCTGTGTGTGCCGTTTGTGCCGCCTACGTGCGTGTGACTGCGCATGCGTGTGACATCTCCGTCTGCAATTCTCCCCTCCCCCGTCCCTCCCGTCCTTTCTCTCTCATTCCTTACTCCTCCCTCTCTCACTCCCTTCTCCTGCAGTATTACCCTCCCCACATTCGCGGATAGTATCGCCCACGTCATCAGTTGCACGGTAAAAAGTTAGCCAGACAAATGGCTTTGTTTTGCAGGCCTCAACTTTTTCACTCCCCCCAAGCACAAAATGTGGAGATACGGCTATAATACGTCGTTTTACAGTCCACACACAACACACATAACACACACGCGACCGGGGTGCGCGACACCGGGTATAGGTTTCAGAGCGCACGCGTCGCGCGTGTAATATAAGCGTAAATTCAAATTTTGTGCCTCGGGGGAAAATACTCACGCGTAATATTTTCAGCATTCGCCGCACACGTGAGTAAAATTACTCGAGTATAAGTGTAATGCAGATCACGTGACTGCGTAGCCAATACTGGGCGCACAATGATTTAAACCCATAGAAATAATATAGATAACCTATATAGATAATATAGATAACCTATATAGATAATATAGATTATCTATTATTTCTATGTTTAAACCCATGCGCTGTTGAATAAATTTACGCAGCTAGCGCGCACACGTTGAGTAGTTTGACGCATGAGTAAAAAATATCAACCGTTTGATATCCGAGTTTCTTGATGCGTGCGTGATTGCTGGCCTCGAACGAAAAATCCGCACGCACACGTGAGTATTTTGAACGCAATGCATCATTTTACTTGAGTAAAATTACTCACGTGTGCGCCGGGATATGGATCGCCAATTGGATGGTGGGTCCCCCGGCAAAAAGAGCGTACATTTTAAAGCGAGTTGGGAGTGTAAAATTTCAATAATAAATGGTGGAGAATCAATCAAAACTTGTCAAACCGAAAATGCGTATCTATTATTGTTAATTCAGTTTTATATGTCGCGTCTGTTTGAAGACTGCAAAGCGCCAATGACGTTTGAAGCCGTGCCTGGCCTCGTACATAACGTAGTTGAGTAGTATTATTACCAACTGTCTTCTCCCATTGCCTACGCGTAGCCTTTTCCCAGTCTCCTAAATGTTACTGTATGTTCCACTTCCAGCTGTTCGACGATAAAAGAGGGCAGTGCGTAGGCAAAAAGTCGGAACAGTGGCATGCACGTCAATGTTTTTCTATTCGTTGCATTTTGTACGCCTGCTGCTGCTGCAAGTTGGCGCCCTTGTAACGTTTGCCCGAAATAGCTGTGTTAGCATATAGCCTCACACACAGCGTTATCCTCCACAGTAATAATGGTTAGAATATAAGCCTTCCAGTCCCGACGATTATCGGCTTCAATAAGCCAAGAACGGGGACGGGCGATAGCCCCACGATCATTGGGCTAATGTCTGTATTGATGGAAACGAGGCAACTTGAAAATACGCTGGATAAGAATTTGCTTCATAATCAGGGGCGTAAATCCCCGAGGGGATAGGGGATGCATCCCCGCCGCTCTTGAAGGAGGGGGGGGATGGCCTGTACAAATATCCGCGCACTGAGAATAAGAATAGAAAAAAAAGAATAGCCAAAAAGTATGGTTGGCAACACATACAAAAACACGTGAAATTGTGAGAAATTGCAATTCTTACCTGTGTTTTAATACATGTATTATTACTATAGTAACGCTAAACTGTGTACGCTCTCTGAAAAGCCAT